GTTCGAAGATGAGCATTCTAGCTGGCTGAGCGATCAGCGAAGCCCATTACTCCACTGACCGGAAAAGTTTCATTCTGTTTGTCTGTTTGTTTGTTTGTCTGTTTGTATGTCTGTCCGCACGATAACTCGAGAATGAATTGAGAGAGCGATCTGGGAATTTCAGGGTCGTTTTGTATCAGAAAAAGACAGATCGAGTTTGAAGATGAGCATTCTAGCTCAAAAATTGGCTTTATAAAAATCAAAAACTACAGGTCGCAAAATGTATTTTTATCAAATATTTTTTTTATGCGTTCCTAAGGGGTAAACCGTGAAAGTAGAGCCCTTTCCGTTTTGCTCTATCTTGTACCGTTTGGGTGCTAGAGGGCATCTCTGGACAAAAATGTGGTGAAAATAACCAGATGGTCTATTAAACCGTAAAAAAGGCTCTATATCAAAAAAAAATGTGTGTACACTCCTATTTACTCGTCTCGGGTGTTAGCGCCGCAGGCCTAGCTACATGTGCGCCAGGCGCGTCGCAGCGTAACAGTGTTTCGTGAGATATCGCGAAGCCTGTTACGCGGGACGTGGTCTGGCGTACGTATAGCTAGTCACTTAACTTGACAGATAGTAGAGATAAAACATTTTCATTAAGACCTTCAATCTTAAAAGGAAATGAGGTCCGATACTTTTGAATCATTGCACAATATTCAGCCTTACATAAACACACATCTTGGCAATTGCATGAAGTGACACGTAAAAAAAACAACTTAACAACTCCATAAACTAAATTATTTGTGCTATTGTTTAACACAGATGATGAATTTTTCAAATATCCCCTTCTATATTCTTCAGCAACATACCACAGACCTTTTACTTTGAAACAAAAGAAAAAAGAAAAATTTGTTCCATTGACATTGCATGTGGTGTGGATAAAGCTCTAACTTGAAGCGGTGGGATAACAAGCACTTTAACAACATTACCTATAACATGTACATGTTTTGCAATAGTTTCTGAAATTGGTAAAGACACAGAAACAAACAAATTAATACAGAAACCTTTCACTTCACCATCTGATAATTTCCGAACTAAAGCAGGTAAATGTGACAACAAACCTATGTTACTGTGTATCTGCAAACCAGCATACCGAGTTCCCTGGACAAGATTGGCTAACTGTCCATTCAAATTCTCAAATTTAAAACATGATGTGGCCCACAATGGGCCTAAAAGGGACACACATTTACCTAAATGCCTAAGACAATGCACATTGAAGGACTTGTTCCTTAACCCAAACAACTTTTGAAAGTCTTCAACAAATTTGCTAAGTAGAAGGTCAGACAGAATCACATCATTTTTAGAAATGCTATCAGTGCTATCAGAAGATAGATACCAACAACAAACAACTTGAAATGCTCAAAATATTTTTTTGCCATGATTTGTTGTAAAATAGGCAATGCATAACGAAACAGCCAAGAACGGAGCTCAGATGCCTTGAAATATAATATATGTTTGAATGATCTAGGCCTTCTCTGAACAAAATGAGGTTGAGTAATACTTTCCATTAAAGATCCCAAAATATTAAAAAGGAGAGGTCATCAGTGAAATTCTTGAGTTCTTGTTCGTATGAGTCAATGCCATCACACAAGTCAATTATCCTTTTGTACTGAATTAAATCTGGACCACTAAGGCCCTTGACATAACCAGAATTGACAAACTTACTAAATGCCATAATTAGATTTCTGGGTAGATCACAGACAGTGACTAAAACTATATCACATAACCATTGAAACAATAACTCAAATGTCCAAAAGAGACAGGAATAGTGAATAGTGAAGAAGAACTTCTTAACAAATCACATTGTACTAAGTTAAAAGAAAGAAGTGAAAAAATATACAAGGAAATGACCTACTTAAATTTAACATTCAGCATTATGACTACCCTGTAAGAAAAAACAGACACAGGGAGGATTAAAGATCTGTACACTAGTGCTTTTAGACATACAAACAGAATATCAGTGCTCTAGATAGATAGATAAAACTAAACAAAACTGGTCACTGCGAAAACAGTCAACTTTGAACAAAAACAAAGACTAGATACACATACAAGTGAGTGCCACTGAACTAAGAATAAAATAATTCTAACAACTTACAGCTATTCGGGAAGAAATATCAAATATGACGAGCTAGGACAATATGAAGTTTGACAGTTTGCAACAAATCTTGAACAAAGAAGGGGCAAAACAGAGTTAAGTATTTAACAACTAAGAATTAATTTAGAACTGCATGTTAATTCAGATGGATGAGCGGGGAAGCCATGACGATTCTTAAACAGAAATATATATCGTAAATGAATGTGGTTAAAAAGGAAAAAATTAACATTTGTGTTTTGCACCAAACTAAGACTCACCAGAACCGCATAATCACATTGAACATCATGGAATTGCTGTCATCATCGACATCTTATCTTTCCTTCCGCCTCCTCCTCCTCCTCGTCATCATCGTCTTCTTCTGCTGCATCCATCTTACCGTAGACAAAAGACCTTGTCAAAACATAAAGGAAGAAATTAACTTAAAGAGAGGCGAGATGCTTGGAGCGTTCTGCGCTGGCGTAAACACAGAAGCATGAGTCTGTCACTAGAAATTGTTCTTGTTTTACTACATGATTACAAAGTACGAAGAATAAAATCTACTTCGAAGTCAAGAGATGGGCTGATATTTCCACAAAATTCTCAAATTTGACAGGAGAGCCGCCCTTCCCGACACCGAACAGGGCTTGATTCCCAGGACCGACGGGCAAAGTCTGATCATAAATCACATCAACTCGCACGGTGGGGTAAAACGCAAGTATCTGTTTAATAGAATCGCGCAAATCAAACAAGGTTTCACGCCCGCCCGCACGGAAAAAAAGAGCTCAAAAAGTGGCACGCCAAAGTGTGGCACGCCAAAGTGTGGCACGCCAAAGTGTCTTAAAATTGTAAAAAATGTATACAAAAAGTATGAAAAAAGTTTGCCTCAAGTGCCACCAGAGTGTGGCG